TGCTACATGTCTTTGGTGAATATAACCCAAATTAGGATGTATTATTTAGTTTGTAGGAAGGTTATAGAGTTCACAAATCTGAAATATTGATCAATCCTGAAGTACTGATAGCCAATCTAATTTCTTGAGATCCAAGAATGTCAGAACAGTACAGATATCCCCCAAATGACCCCTTTTTGTAAAGTAGACAGTCCGATGTACTTCATAGGAGGCATTGGCGAGTTTTTTGAAGTTGTATTTTTTTTGTCATAATTTTTCCGAAAATGAAAAAATTAAAAAAAAAATTATTTTCACTATTTTTTTTTTTACATACTGTCACCAGTGCAGTACAGTGTCATCATATAACTGGCATGGCGGTGAACAGGGACACTGACTGGTGACAGTATGAAAAAAAAAAATATATATTTTTTTTTATTACATTTTTAAAAAATTTTTTAAAGATTGTTTTCATATTTTACTATGACCAAAGTAGTACAATGTTACCATAGTAACATTGTACTACTTTGGGGAAGTGATCAGTATTTTTTTTTTTACACAATTTGCTTATAGCAAAGAATTACTTTGCTATAAGCAAGCATTTACCTGAATGACATCGATTCATTCAGGTTTTTTTTTTTTTTTTTGCTTAGCTGTGATTTGGCCACAGCTAATCACATGACATGTGCATGTGATTAGCTGTGACCATTCACAGCTAGGCAGTAGTATACAATGGATGTCATGAATGAAGCCATCCATTGTATACAACTGTCATGTGACCTGCTGTGATTGGTCATGTGGCAGAGCCTGGGGAGGAGTTCAGTGTGAGCGTCCCATTACATCTAGCGTAAAACTAACACAGCATTTCATAAAACATCATACCAACACTCAAACATGGAGGTAGTAGTGTGATGGTCTGGGGCTGCTTTGCAGCCTCAGGATCTGGACGACTTGCCATAATTAAACCATGACATCTGCACTCTACCAGAAAATCCTGATGTCCGACCATCAGTTCATGACCTCAGTCTCAAGCGCACTTTGGTTATGCAGCAGGACAATGAATCGAAACACACCATCAAGTCCACCTCTGAATGGGTCAAACAAAATTAAGGTTTGATCTGATTGATATGCTGTGGCATGACCTTAAACAGGCCATTCATGCTCGACAACCCTCCAGTAAGGCTGAATTAAAACAATTCTGCAAAGAAGAGTGGGACAAAATTTCTCCACAGTGATGTGAAAGACTCATTGCCAGTTATCGCAAATGCTTGATTGCAGTCGTTGACGCCAAGGGTGGCACAACCGGCTATTAGGTTTAGGGGGCAATTACTTTTTCAAATAGGGCCAGGCAGGTTTGGACAGCTTTTTTTCCTTTATAAATGAAATCATAATTTACAAACTGCATTTTGTATTTATGTGGGTTATCTTTGTGTACTATTAAAATTTGTTTGATGATCTGAATCATTTAGGTGTTACAAATATGAAATACAAAAATCAGGAAGGGTGCAAATACTTTTTCACAGCACTGTAACTTTGTGATCCCTGCAACACATTGAAAATAGTCACCGTCACTATCATTAGATGTTGTAAAGGACAGGAGTATATAATAGAGGTTTGAATGCCCACCAACCCCAAAACATGCATGCAAGGAATCAAAATGGTACAAACTGTTTAGGAATGGATGATCCAAACTTTTCATATTGTACTTCCAGATTCATACAAATCAATTTCCTTACAGAAAGGATTACTAGAACAAAATTGGATAAAAGAGTCCAAGAAAATTTTAATTGTTGGTTAAAAATTCATATAAAAGCAGCCAACGTGTTTTGGGGGCAACAGCACTCCCCCTTCATCAGGGTTCAACACAGGATAAAATTTGGGCAAACTCAAAAAAAAACAGTGACTTCATGGATCTAAACTAGAACAAGTACTGAACTCTCCATATACAGTAACAACCTGACAGCAGTTGCTGAGTAGTAATGGATGAAAGGCCCTCCAACCCCAAAAAACATGCATGGAAGGAGTCAAAATGACGCAAACTGCTTTGGGGGTGGACTGCCCAAACTTTTCTGATTTTTACTTCCCAATTCAGGCAAATCAATTTCCTTGTCACGATTTCATAACACCCGCAGTTTTAATAAATGTAAAGCTAAACTCTAGCCAAAATATTTTTTTTTGGTTACAGTGGGGAAGGGTTATAACAAGTCAAGTTTTTATTGTTGCCCATGTGGGGAGATTCCCTCCCACCTCCTGTCCAAAAAAAGAAATAAAATGTGTGGAGCTGTTCTTCATGATGTGCATTTATAAAACAAGTAAAAGAAAGGTCCATGACTCAGCTTTGCCATGCTTATGAATTTATTGTAGTTAGCTTTTGATTTACAATCAATTATTAAAAGAAGCATTATGATGAATGTCTTTTGATCAATATTTGAGAGAAAACTATTGAGTATTGTAAAGAGGTTTTAAAGAGGAACTGAATTTATTAACAACATATTTATAAACTTATACTAAGCCAGCTGAGTACAGTAAAGCAAAGTAATGCACCTACAATTGTGAGCTGCATAGACCTCTATCCCTGCATTAGTACTGTGCTAACAAATAATCAGGCTATGGTGATTGATGAAACATTCTAGTACAGGCAGGGCGGACTGACCATTTGGAAACTCGGGCACTGCCCGAGGGCCCGGGGTCAGTAGGGGGCCCCATGAGATGCCCCTGGTACCTTTTTCATAGGCTTTTTTGAGTTTGGGCAAGGACACAGGGGCCCCATGATCCCCTATTGCCCGGGAGCCCCATGAGTTGTCAGTCCGCCCCTGAGTACAGGTATAGTACCAAATTCAACCAACTTAGTTAGAGCCAGTACAAACACAGATACTTAATTGGGTTGTAAGAAACTGCAACCAAAATTTGTTTGATCTGAGATCTTCAGTACTATTCAGTCTACCCATTTCCACTGCTGTCTCCCAGCCCTGTAAGAGCTTCTAAATGCAGGGAGGCAGGTCATTTGACTGGCGCGTGCTCTCAGCACAGACAAGTGTTTACATAGGGCCTCATACTCCTGGCCTCTTGGCATTAAAGCCCACCCACTGAGAGCTTTGGATATAGTGGGGAGGGAATATTGCATCTGTCAGGGTTTTTTATTGCTGTCTGTATCCCCATTTGGGAGACTCACCCTCTCTATTTGGCCTGTTTACCTTTATCATCAAGATTGAAAGTACAAGAAAATTCCAAATTTTGGGTTGTTCTCATAACCAGAATAGAGGGAAAATCTTCCAATCAGGACACTATTTCTGGTGAAAAACAATGATTCCCTCACTTTGGAGGAATTTCCTCTCACTTCCTGTTTTGGCTATGGGACAGAAAGTGAGGGAAAATCTCCCCAATGGGACACAAGTGGCAAAAAACTGACAGGATTTAAGGTTTTAATCCTCAATCCAAAATTAAAAAAAAGTTTTTGGTTCTACTTTTATGTGTTGAGAAGGAATTTGAAATTGTATGGAATGCTTTTATATCCAATTTCCATTAATCAATAACAATAATTCCAATGCCACAGGATATCCCAATTTGCTGCTCCATGAGCTGTTACCACCAAAGGAAACATCACATAATCTGACATACGCAAACGGCAATAGCATGGGGTAAAATAAACCTGTTACAAACGTACACAAATTTAAGTAGGCATATGATAAAGACCGCAATAGACATTACCTTCAGTGAAAACCACATAGAAGAACCATTAGCTGTTCCTGAAATAGAAGTACCTGAAAGTATATATGCAGAACAGGACCTTGAAATACTCATGTTTGGTACTTACCAACCTTCACCTGTCTAGCCTCTTTTTTAGGTCAAAGAGGTTGTCTTTCACATCATAGGGAGGCTCAGGGTGGGGGCGGGGTCAAGTTTGACTTTTAGGATAAGTTGAGAAGGTAATTTGTGTTTATATAACTTTTGTTGCCTCCATCTTTAAATTTATTAATTATATTGACCTGTTTTCACTGATTGTAATCCCTGCTTATGTTAGCATTCCCCATGTTTTGTGTCAGGTTCACATTAAGGCCAATTTCACATTTTTATGTATTACACTTTTTACAAAAGAAGATTATGTTAAAAGATGCATTTACATTTCTTGGGCCCCTTCACATGGGTCTTTTGATCAGATCGGCCTGTCAGTTTGTTGGTCAATGGGCAGGCAGTGATATTTGATTGTGTGGCCATTTACCATATGATTACCTCCAAATCTAGTTCCAAAAAAATGGAAAAGGTCAACGATCAGAGGAAAATCCCTTTACATATGCCTGCCCATAAACCTACCATGGGTCAGTTAAGCTCTGACAGGAAAAAACTACCATGGGTCAGTTAAGCTCTGACACAAAAAAAAATTGCAAAAGGTCAATCGGAGGTAAAATCCCTTTACATCCACCTGCCTATAGCCCTGCCATGGGGCAATTAAGCTCTGGCAAGAAAAAACTAACTGAACACAGATGTCACAAAAGGGATAGCCATACCATTCAGCTCTGATTCAGCAGTGGATCTGTTCATGAATCCCCTACTGACTGGAATGGACACAGCCCAAATGAAAGGACCTTTAAGCTGGCCATAAATGGATTGAAATTCATCCGGTTCTACAGGGACTGACTGAATTTTGATCCATCTATGGCCATTCTCCCTAAAGAGAAGTCAATCTAACAATCGGCTTCTCTTGATTTGGAATGCTAGAAATTTTTCATTGAATCAGAGCCTGCAGTCAATCACACTGGAGTGCCCTGAGAATAGGTAAGTATAAGCATCTTCCTTTAACAGGGCAGTTAGTATAAGAGAAGGGGTTTGGTGCAGTCTTAAATGTAGTTCTAGCCTGGGATTCCATTTTAAAGAAACAAAAGGGTTGGGATTAAAAAAAAAAAATCTTTTAATGCACTCTCAATTCTTTGCATATTATGTGTAATGTTTAGTGTTGCATTTGTTTATATGTTGAAATAGGAAACCTGCACTAAATAACATGTAATGATTATACAGATCAAATAAAGTTACTTTTTGGATACATTTTCCAGGAGGGAGTTAAAAGTGACATCATAGGTAACCTGATAGCCATCATTGAGTGCATAGAGCTGGTGGTCATTGGGATTGTAGGACAGATTGTGTATGTTCTCTTGCATTTTGTCAAACAGGATGCTTAACTTGCCTTCTTTTCCAGTTTTGGTATTGTACATGTAGAAGATCTCTTCAGTCTGTGTGTTCACAGCTCTGGTAGCATATAAGATTCCAACCGCCATGAAGGCATTGGTGACTGCAGGCTTGTATTGGTTGGTGTGCCAGGTCCGCTGTACTGCAAGAGTGGTGGCATTAAGCTTACTGAGGACCATGTTGCCATTACTATGTTCAGTTGCATAAATAACCCAAAGGCCATTTTCATCACCGGCAAAGTCAATGTCCTGCCAACTGGAAGAGGCATAGGAGAATCGATTACACTGTTCAACAAATTTTTATTTTATGCCAGTTTTGGAAACAAAAGGATCCATTTCTTAATGAATTTCACATTCTGAGTTCAAATATAACAATGAAATTTGTCAATTGGCTCTAGTTTTTCTGTAAACGGAAAGTTTTCTACTATAGGCGTAATGACTACATAATGCACAATAATTATATAGATAGATGTCTTTCCACAAATATAAAGCAAGTGATATTGACTACATAACAAAGCCTAAATGGCATAATATATTGCATAGGATTACCAAGAAAAATTATAGCCATAAGCTAAGTTGAATCATTTTAATACTTAGGATTCTCACTAGTTTTGTCTTCAGTTTGTGTCGGTTTTGCTTCTCTTGGCTTTTCTCTTGTATTCGAGGAAAGGGCTATCTCTTACAACTGCACGTGACTACACGCTTCAGGTTCTTCCTCACTTGACTCAACCACGAAGGATTCTGGTGCTTTAGGAATTGGTAGCCCCTCTCCATGAGGAACTGGTCGTATTGCCGATGGAATATTTGGATAGTGCACAGATAACGTTTTCTTCTTATTTAGCCCTTTTACAACTGGAGGCACCATACAAAAGTAACAATTACTAACATGATCTGTTGGCTCTCTCCAAATCATTGGCACAGCGAAAGGCATAGATGCCTTTTTTCCATTCAACCATTGCTCCAGTGCCGTCCCACAAGAATTGCAGCATATATGTGGTGCCCAGCTCTTGTCCTGGTCCCCTATCTTGCAGCCAAAATACAAGTTGTAGGCTTTCTTAATCATTCCTGTTATCCTCCTTTTTTGTGAGATAAAAGTTATTTCACCGCAGATATAGCAGAAATTATCGGCTTTATTCACACAAGTTCGAGGCATTATTGAGTAGCCTATATAAGCATAAAACGAAATGTAAAGACGCTGTCGAACTACAATCAGCTACAGATACTGCAGCTTTTATGCAGTGAAGTGATGCAATTAAAGGCTAATATTGCATCATCTCAGTATACATGCAATTTTCTATTAATCACCAGTATCAATTGCGCAATATGCAGCTGAAGTTGCATCATAATTTTGAATGGCTTACGTCATTAGATGGGTGAATATATCATGGAAACTAGAGCCAATCAACATTTTTTAGGGTCATTTTCGTTTTCAGCACCCCAAAATTATGTAAGATTAGCTAATTTTATGCCCAAAACTTTTTACCTGTTGAACAGTGTTATTGAAAGCAGCATCACTGAGAGTACTACGGCTTTCCACAGTATAGGTTTTTGTGTTATACTTGCAGATGTCTCTTGTATTGTAGCAGGTATAGTACATGGAGCCATCATACATAATCATTCCACTTCCTTGACCAGTTCTTGAATAATCATCATAATATATAAGGCCCTTCTCTACATAGTTTTGATAGCGTAACAGGTCAAATATATGAGGGATAGAAGCGCAGGGTGTTCATTATGCGAGCATCTGATCTTAAAATAGCCCCCCAATATGTTTTTTTGATTAGTGCCTGGATATGAGTCTCTTCCCCATCCGCCCCACTTGCTGCCGAATCCTGCCCAGTTCAGTTGCACTATAAAAGGCTTGCTGACATTTGTGATTTCTCCATGTTCACGGGTACATGCAAGATGGAATCCGTTTGTGAAAATGCTACGCAAAAACAATTACCACATCAAGTAACATAATAATAAAACAATGTCATATTATGTAACATTTTGAAAGTAAGCTTAAACGCCAATGCAACTAATTGTTCTCTATGTACATGCAGAAGGCCTTTGATTTGATGTGAAATCACCACATCTATGTGTGAAAAGTATAAATTATTAATGCAAGTGAAGTATGTTCTTTTTGTTCAAATGACTTCAGATAAGTGCAGCAGTCTGCCCAATCGCAGATCTGACCTTGATTTTCCGGAAATGGCTGTCCCTGGTATAGTAAAGGAATAATAGCATTCTGTGTTTCAATCCAGGGTTTGCCTTGATTTTTTTGAAGCAACATTACCATTCTTAGTGGTCCCGTACTTTCCTGGTATTCTTTCATTTCCACTTATTTAAACAGTAGGATGACCGCAGCCTGCTATTAAATCATAATATAATATAACAAGTCATAACTCAACTTTTTTATAGAAAAAGTTCAATTTTAGAATTTTGCTACAGGAGCCATTTTGTAATTTAATGTTATGGATGGCATTACAGCTTACTACACCAGATACTCAAGCAATAAAGTGCAGTGATATTCAAACATTTGTATATACTTTTGGAAAATAGTGCCATAACACCAATTTCTGCCCAAATTAATTAATTAATTTTGATTTAAACACTAATTTGTGGTGGCATATTTTTTTTGCATGTGTTGTGATGAAATGATAAAAAAGAACTGAAAGATAAATGTTCACTTAGGGCTTCACCTCTTCACTGCATTACATACAGTCACATTTGCATGGTATTGTCAGGGATCCCGGCTCCGTCTGCCGCAATCGCGGCTCTGTCCCCCGCGCATGCGCATTGGCGGCAGATCACGCCGGGGACACAGGAACTAGGTCCCGGCGAGCCGCGGCTGACAGGACGCCGCGCATGCGCAGTAGAAAACCGCGGGGCGCGCCTCAGGCGTCCAATGACAGCCGGGGGCGCGTCCTAGCTAGCCAATGACAGTGCAGGGCGCACTATTTAAGATGCCCTGCACTGTCACAAATTGCCGCAAGGTCTATATGTGATCCTGAATACCTGCTCCTGCTGTGACCCTGTTTTTTGACCCTGACTACGCTGCCTGCCCCTGAGATTGACCCGGCTTTGTTCTGACTATTCTACCCGCTCCTGTGATTGACCCGGCTTTGTTCTGACTATTCTGCCTGCTCCTGCGTTTTGACTCGGCTTATCCCGACTGTTCCTACGGATTGATTTACCTGGCTGACCCTGCGTGTGACCCGACTACTCCTAGCCCGCCGATTCGGTACCCCGCTTACCCACGGGGCCACTATCCGTACCACCCTGCTGGGGCCGCCATCCTCTTCACAGCTGGCTCTCCTGGTACCTACATACATCCCGGAGGCCTCCTCGGCCGCTCTGGGTAGGTCTACCAGCTGGCAGACGGAGGGCTCCGCCTGGCGGATCCTAACAACAGTACCTTGCGGCCATGACAGAGCCAGGAAGTGGACCGGCGTCCCTTAGAGGATATTTGCCAGCACCTGGCCAACTTTGACCCAGGCTTTCCAGAACTTCCACAGTCGCTGCGCCCGACTGGAAGACCGCATGGAGACATTAGCCCCCCAGACTCCCCCTGCTCAGAGTTCCCTGTTGTGGGAACCTCCCGCCTACCCCGGTATCCGGAGCGGTTGCCACACCCTTAGCTCTGAACCCCGTGTTCCCCTGCGGAGCCGGCGGTTCCGTGGGGACCGGAGCCGCTTCCGAGCCTTTCGGAACGCTTGCACACTATATTTTGACTTGCAGCCTCGCACATTCTCCCTCCGAGACCGTGTGGCGCGGAATCAAGGTGGGGTTTATAGTCTCTCTCCTTCAGGATGAGCCCCAGGATTGGGCCCACCGTCTGATGGAGAGGCGCGACCCCCATTCTGACTCCGTGACCGAGTCTCTTTCAGGCCATGGCCGTTTTGTATGACGACCCTCAGCGGGCTGCTTCCGCAGAGGCTACCCTATTACTCTCTGCGACAGGGCCGCCGGGCAGCGGAAGAATACGCGTCCGATTTTAGGCGTAGCATGGGGAGGACACCAGATGGAACGATGCGGCCTTATGTCACCAGTTCCGCATTTGGACTGTCTGAGAGCCTCTCAAGGACGAACTCGCACGAGTAGGCCTACCTGACTCCCTGGAAAGATTGATTGAATTGGCCATTCAAATTGACCGTAGACTAAGGGAACGTCGACAGGAAAGGAGGCAGCCAGGGTCAAAGGGTGGCATGGATTCCATCAAGAGATACAACTCCAGCCCCAGGGAACCATCCGCGAAACACGGAGATGGGAGACAACTCGGAACCCATGCAACTGGGACTGGCCCGTTCCCACTTATCGGTCGAGGAACGCCAGAGGAGGCGCTCATCCTGAACCTGTGTCTGTACTGCGGGGAAGCTGGTCACCAGGTGCGCTCCTGTCCTGCAAAAACGAGTAAGTCCACGCCCGTTTCTTGTTCCTTACCTGCAGGCAGGGATGATCAGTCTAGTTACCTGGCCATTCCTGTGTCTTTACAGCTCCCGTGGGAGGAATATTGTCGGTGACCGCGATCGTTGACTCAGGAGCCTGTAGCTGTTTTATTGATCTGACTTTTGCCCACCGGCAAAAAATCCCTCTCCAGACCAAAGAAAGGGGGTTCAACATTTTCTTGGCAGATGGGTCCAGTTATAAAAATCTGGGGTGGTGGACCAGGAGACACCACCCATTTTTCACCACTACTAGGGCAGACCATCACCAGGAGTTCCTCCGTTTGGACGGCCCTCACTCGCCGCCTCCCCCCTTTTTCCAGTCATTCTGGGGCTCCCTTGGCTGAGGCCCATAACCAACCGCCCAGTTTGACTGGGGGAAAAAGGGAACGATTCATCTTGACGGTCACCCCTATTGTTTGAGTCACTGCCACGTCACAGGAACCCCATTGGTTCCCCGCTTTTCCGCCTGTGCTTGGACGGAGGACACCAATCTATCCCAGGTTGATTTCCTCCTGGCCTTATCATGACTTTCTTGGACGATCTTTAGAGTAAGCGGGGAGCTGACGTTCTACCTCAACTACCGTCCCTACGACTGCCCCATTGGGACCTCCTCTACCGGGTCGGAAATCTCTTTCGGGCGTATCTTCCCCCTTGTCCCGTGATGGAATCGGGGGTTGCTGAGGGGAATATATCGACAAAAAAAAAAAAACGAAAAAACAAAAAAAAAAAAAAAAAAAAAAAGAAAACCTTCGGAAAAAAAAGGGCTTGTATGCGTCCCTTCCACATCCCCGAGGCCGGGGCCGGGTTGTTCTTTTGTAG